AACCCGTAAGTATACGCGACAACAAGTAATACAGGACGTATTTGAGACCCTTTTATCGTTCCCAGAAGGATCTTTAGCGTGTGTAACTTGACTAAACTTTGTAATTGCTAAAACTGAATTTAACCTAAGAAGGATCTTTAGCGTGTGTAACTTGACTAAACTTTGTAATTGCTAAAACTGAATTTAATCTAAAAATGAGGTAACAATAAAAAGGAATTGACTAATCTAAAATGTTACTAACTTGTAACTATAAATAATTTATTTTTTTATATTTTCAAATTTGATTTCTTGAGTTAGGAAGTGGAAAATGGAAGGGCAACAAATTAACATTTGATTGAAAAATATTTTTATATAAAGAAATTTGTAAACAGAATTAGAAGTGAGGTTTTTGAAAATCAAATGAAAATAAATCTAAGTTGGTGAAAAATAAGTTGTAAAGTAGGTTGAGTTTCGGTTCCCCTCCCCAACAGCCTCTGAATGAGTGCTAATTACAAGTCACTAAAAATTAATTCCCAAGTGATGGATTATTTCATTGATTTTAATCTCTTAAAACCATTCTTGTCCTAAACAAACATTTTGCACATTTCTGTGCTAAACGAAGTAAAGACCCTCATAGTTCCACTCCATAATTACATGGAGGTTGTTCTCATCTCTAAGTAACATCCTTTGAGTGCTCTCACACTCAAGTCCATGTGCTTAACACAGTTCTGGACTTAGTCACCTCTCAATGACTAATTCCCAAAATTATATCCTACCATCAGGCCTTAACAATAGAATATTTTAAATGCAAGCACAACATTAAACAAAAAAGGAATTAACTTTTAACAAAAACAATCAGCACAAATTCATAACTAGGGTTCGGGTACCTACACCCAACCTAGAGAAAATTAGCTCATACCCATTGAGAGGGTTGAGCTTCAAAACAACAAAATAGTATTCAAATTACAGAAACTAAAAGTGCAGAAAATAAAACTACAGCATTGGTCCTAACAACCAGATTAACCACAGTGTTGTACCAACATGAGTAAAGCTTAACAGAAGAAAAATAATCTCAATACAGTACCAGAAACTTCAAGAAAATTAAAACTCAAAATATCCAGAAGAAAATAAAATATAAAAAATAAGAACCGAAGAAGCACCTAGACTCACTCCATTCTCTCCTTTTATAGGACTCCTTCTCTTCTTTGCACGATCTTTTGATTCACACCTCAGCAGGCACCCACGCGCTCCTTCCAGCTGTACGATTCCTTTGCCCAAATCGCTTCCCCATTTCGAAAGTTGCTTCAGCCTCCACTCACAACAGAATCCAGCTCACCCACTAAATGGAGGATTTTGTTTGGCATTTTCTGTATAAAGCAATAGTGGTTAGGGTTTGATTAATCCCCTGGTGGACCGTGGGTGAGGGTTAAACTGGATGAATAAACCGTAGACAAGGAGCGGTCTGGCTTTACAGTTTATTTGTGGCAAGGAATTTGGATAGGTGGTGTGGATTTGTGGTCGAATGAGGGTGGGTCTTTTTCGCACGATGTGTGCTAGGGTTCTCCTCTCAGCCTTTTTTGTTCGTTTCTAACTTTGTCTCTTTCTTTCGATCCCTATCACTTTCTTTCTTTGCTTTTCCTTCACTTGGGCTTTTGACAAAAGCTCCAGCCCATTAGTTTCTTCTTGCTTTTCCTTCTCTTCTCTTCCTTCCTTCATTGCTGGGAGAGTGTTAAAAGGTGGGCCTGTAAAACAAAAAATTTAAGCCCATTAGCACTTAAGTCCATTATATTTCAGCTCAACATAAATTTGGGGTTTTTAATCACAAAAATTATTCTTCTCTATCCATTTGCACATTAAACCATATGTTCTAAGTCGCATTTAAGAGACTTATCACACCCCAAACTTACACTGTTGCTTGTCCCCAAGGAACAAATTCCATTCAGCAAAAATAAGCATGATTATTCATCAACTCTCATCATCACATCTTAACCTCATTTCCAATCAAACAGATTTTTCAATATAATTTCGATGACCAAACTCATGTCATAAATTCATAAACTTTGTTCATCAAAACAGCAACAATTGAATAAACCAATCAAACAGCTTGAGTAAACATTCAATTCGTCAAAACCACTCAAAAAACAGTGTGCAAATCCATATTCAAGAATGTACTCAATGGATAATGGGACCACTATCAGAGAAGATCTTGATTTTTTTTCACTTTTTAACAACAGGGAATAAAATCATCACAACAAGCAATTTAGAACAGCTATAATGGCTCACTTTCTCCTCACATTCTCACTCAGTGTTTCAGGGATCTGTTTCTCTCCATACCTCACTAGGAATAACCTTGACATAGGCTTGACAAGATGCTCAAGTTTTTTTTTTTAGTGCAACAACAAGTTCAGGTTAAATCAAAGGGACTTGCAATGGTTGTACTTTGGCTGAGGTGAAGGTGGGATATTTGTGGGAATAAGGGCTAAGTAAGTTATGATGGAAAAACACATTTCAAAGGCATTGGTCCAACAATCTTAGTGGCTGCTTCTTCTACTACTGAATATTTTTCTTCTTTTTCTTCTATTCACCAATTTTTTTTTAACACTTACCTTTTGTCAGTAAACAGCAGCACTTTTCGTTTCTCTTCAGCCAACAGTAACTTGCCTCAATATTTTTTTTATTTTCTTTCTTGTTTTCCATCACAACTACTTGGTAACGTGAGACTATGGATGGGTTTCATTGTGGCTACACAAGAACAAAGCTCAAGCACAAAGGGATTTCCAATGGTCAATATTTCCAGGATGGCTTTTTGGCTTAACAAGGCTACATGAACATAATGCCCTTATCATTTCCAACCTAAACAGGTGCTACACTCACTCACCTAAGCATCAGGCCAAGTTCTGCCTCATCTATCCAAGTGAAGATCTCTCAAGAAAAATCATTTGTTTAAGCCCAAATCCTTACTGGGTTCAATTACCATCTCAATCACCTATTGATCCAATTTTTCTTCCCTGCCTTAGTCCATTATCACTCTCTTCTTGATATCATCCCTTAGCCATTTAAACACTCTTCTCTGAATTCTATATTCACACTACTGACAGCTGAGTATTTTCTAAAAAAAAATTCAAGCTCCTTAATCAGAATCCATCTGCTGTTATTTCATGCACAAAATTTTTGAAACCAGAATTTTTTTTTTAAATTAACTTTACAAACAGCAAACAAACTTCTAATTCTCAAAACAGCAAAACAAAGAAAAATAGCAAAAGACAAAATAGCAACTATTCACAGCAAATCAAAACAGCACGTTTCCTGCACCCCCAAACTTAAGAGGAACAGTGTCCTCACTGTTTAATTCCAGCCGGTTTCCAAAAAATATAACAAATGAGAACAATGTAACCTGTGGCCAAAAGATGTTCTGGCCTATTCCTCCTTGTAGTCTGAGTCCTCAGACTCAGATTGTGCTGACTCTTCCGAAGCAGATGGTGTGAGGATCTTATCCTCCTCATCAGTCTCTTCTAGCTCTTCAATAATAAGCCTGATCCGAGAACGTGGCCTCCCTCTTTTCCTTGAAGAAGGTGCTTGCTTAGGTTATACAGCAGGTGTTACTTGTGAAGCAGGAGGTGCCTTTTGAGCTTCAGCTCGAGACTGAAAGTGCTGATGTACCTGCATATCAGAATAGATGGAAAAAAGAGCAAAAGTGAGATAGTGAGGAAAAATAGGCAAAACAGGAAAATTAGCAAAAGTATTTTTGAAAAAATCATTCATCAATTTGTCTCTTTCAACCATATAAGTGTACAACCTCACTTGATCATTTAAGACCCCAAAAAATTGCTCATAATATTTTTGAAACAATAAATCAGTGTTTTCATGATCTTCCTTCAACTCCTTCATCATTGTATAAATCCATGTGAGGTCATTATGTAGCCACCCCGGATGATTATGGTTTAATTTGGGGCTGGCCATACAATCCTCATCATCAAAAGGTGATGAAGGAGTGTGGATTCAGAAAATTTGGCAGACGGGCCTTCACCCGAGGCTTTTTTTTCTCATTTTTTACTGCTCACAGGCTCTTCTTTTAGAGAAAATTTACCTTTCTTGGCCAAGCTAGGGGTGGGTTGAGGTGCATCATGCAAAACCTCTTTAACAAATTCCTTTTCAGGAATTGTTAGAATCCCTTTTTTTAGTTTAGTGATACAAGTGAGGTTTATAATTTCTTTGACACTGAAAAAATTATCCGAAGGGTTGTCAACCACACCCTTGGATTTACACAAACCAGAAATGAAACTAGGGAACCACAACTTCCCTTTTTTTATAGGAAGCACAAATGCCAATTCCCTTTTGGATGAGAAGGGCAGCATCTACTCTCTTTCCAGTCAGTAGACACCACAACAAAATTGCCCTATCTTTTGTAACTAAATGTACATGGGTGGTGGGTAGAAGTCTTGCTCTTATGAAGTGATACCACACTTTAGCTCTTTCCACCAAATATTTCTTATGTATGGTATGGATATCTTTATTGACTTCCCATTGTGTCCCTGGGACAACAGTGGTGAGCAAGACCTCTTGCAAAAAGGTAGGGTCAGATTGCTTTTTGAAGACGTGATATTCATCTTTGGGCTTTGATGGGAGAGAATAAACTTCTCTCACTACTTTTGGGCCATATGATATCTTGACCCCCCCTACAAGCCAGTTCAGTTTGCACTTTGTTAGTAACCTCAGCATAAAATTCCTGTAAAACAGTGACATTGGCCACTTGCTGAGGGTGCAAATAAAATTCTTCCCACTGTTGGAATTTCACCACCTCATATGCATAGGGGGGATAAGAGGTGTGACCCTCAAATCCCTTGTCAGGAATTGGTTCCCTATTTTTCATGATTTCTTCAAACCTCTTAACAATGTTTCCAGAGGTGAAGGAGGTGATTGAATGACTCTCAGGGTCATTTGTGGAGTATTTTATATCGGGTTCAGATGATCCCCCACTCCTCAAATTCTTTCTAACCATAATGGTTGATCAGACTCTAAAATTAAAACAAAATACCTTTTATATCTGCTAAAGACCATCCTATAGCCCTCTTAAAATTTTTTAACACAGCCAGCAGCTGCTCTTCCTCTAAAACAGTGAGCAGATTGGACACTATGACAGGCAAAGTGTCTTTTTCTCCTAAATAAGCATACCTAAGGTGATTAGGTAGAGGCTTGAGCTCTAACACAAGGGGCTCTTCAATTGAAGGTTTAGGAATTTTTAACCCTCTCTTGGCTAATTCCAATGACTCAAAATTTTTATTTTTCCAAACTAATTCAGACTTGGAATTTAACCATTTCACAGCTTCATCTGAATTAGTGTGACTTAACTCTAGACCCTCACAACCCGAAACTCCCATTGAGTCCAATGAAGTTTCTTGTAAAAAAATTTCTTTCACCACATAATCTATGATATCTAGCCTAGAACATTCTTCTATGTCTCTTGTGTATTTCATGGCTTTCGAGATATTAAATTTAACTTGATCTCCATTTACATTCATTGCCAACTCCCCCTCTTTAACATCTATTACAGCCCCACCAGTGGCTAAGAAAGCCCTTCCCAAAATAATTGGAACCTCTCGGTCTTCCTCATAGTCTAAAATTATAAAATCAGTCGGTAGAATAAATTTATCTACCTTCACCAAGACATTTTCTACTTTCCTTTCAGGATAAACTAGGGACCTATCAACCAACTATAAAGTGACAGTGGTAGGATTAGGCTCTCCTACTTTCAGCTTTTTATACACACTCAGAGGCATTAAATTGATACTAACACCTAAATCATACAATGCTCTGCCTATGTAATGGTCTCCTACGGTGCATGGGATTGTAAAACTTCCTGGATCTCCTAGTTTAGGAGGTATCTTGCTAAGCAAATATTGACTACTCTCTTGTGTAAGAGCAACAGTCTCAAACTCTTCTAGCCTCCTTTTTCTTGAAAGAATTTCTTTCATGAATTTCACATAAGTGGGCATTTGTTCTAATGCATCCACAAATGGAATGTTGACATGCAACTGTTTTAGGAGGTCTAGAAATTTCCTAAACTGAGTGTCTTGCTTCTGTTTTTGCAACCTTTGAGGAAAAGGTGGTGGGGGTCTATTTTTGACAACTGGTGTCTCAACATTGGGCTTAAATGCTTAACCATTTTGATTGGCATTTTCCATGAAAATATACCCTAAAGGCTCATCTATATGGGTCTGATTGTTTGATTCAACCAGAATAGGCAGGGGATCACTATGCGCAGCCCCTTGGGGGCTGTCATGAACAACAGAATTCTGAATAGGTTCAGACTTTGCATTTTTTTCTTGCTGCATGTTTTCCTCTTCTTCTTTTTTTAATGTGGAAGGTCGAACCACAGCTTCTGGCTGTTTCATAGATCTGCCATTTCTGAGCTCTATCATATGACACTGCTCATTATTTCTCCTAGGCTCTTCAGTGTTACTAGGCAAGGTACCAGGGGGTCTGTTATTCATAGTATTTGCTAAATGGCCTAGTTGGGATTCTATATTCCTCAAAGATGTAGGAATACTTTGCACAACAGCTTCCAAGATGTTTTGCTTAGTCTCATTCTTAACCAAATATTCTCTTAACAAAGCTTCTAAGGAAGAAGGTGGAGAAATAGGCATCTCACTAGATTGAGCAACAGGTTGCTGCCTTGAAGTTTGTTGGTAGTTTTGAGTGGAAAAAGGTATTTTGGATTGGGCATTGGAGGGGCCAGCTTGCTGCTCTTGGCTTTGGAAATATTGAGGCTGTTGATTTTGCCTCCAACCTTGATTAAAGTTGTTGGAAAAATTATTTTGGTTCCTATTTTGGTTCCCCACATAAAAAATAGATTCTGGGTTGGATGGGCAGCTACTAAACAAATGGGGCCCACCACAGAAAACACAAGTTTCACCTGTATTTACTGCATTAACTTGAGGTTAGGGCACTGGAATTTGAGGTGTAGGTGTTGGAACTTGAGGTTGAGACAACCTTGCCTCAATGGCTTGTCCTTGGGTTCTAACTAGAGTGGAGAGTGCATCAAATTTGGTTGAAAGAGCTGTTACTGGATCTACCTCATGTAAACCAGCCACTCTCCTTGACTGATTTCTCTCTTCAGGCCATTGGGCATAATTTTGAGTCATTTGTTCTAACAACTCGTGGGCTTGATTAAAGGACATGGACATAAACATGCCATTAGCAGCAGAATTTGCTAAGGCTCTCTTTTGGGTATTCAGACTATCATAAAGGGTCTGTAACACTGCCCAAGAGGGCAAGCCATGGTTGGGACATTGTTCAAGAAGGATCTTAAACCTCTCCCACACATCTACTAAGGTCTCACCATCCTTCTGCATGAAGTTGGTGATATCACATCTAGTTTTCACTATCTTGTTGGATGGAAAAAATTTCATGATAAATTTTTCAGCTAGTGTGTGCCAATTTGTTATAGAATTGGATGGAAGGGAGTTCAACCACTCTTTGGCTTTATCAGCCAGTGAATAAGGGAAGAGCTTCAATCTCAGAACATCATCTGAGATGTTAGGATTCCTAAAAGTGTTGGCCACTTCTATGAAATTTCTAAGGTGCTTGTGTGGGTCTTCCATCAACAAACCATGGAACTGCCCCATATTTTGGAGCATGGTGAACATGACAGGTTCTAACTTAAAGGGCACTCCATTAACAGATTGGGCAATACTTGGGTCCAACTCATCCAGCACAGGTATGATGAAGTCCATCATGGACCTATCATTGTCATCAATTATGGGTGGGTTTTCTATCCTTGTCGGTCCTCCTACTCCTTCATTCCCATTTACACTTCCTAAATCCTCCATTTCTTCAACTTCTAGAAGTGGAATTTGCCTATGTGCTCTCTGGGCTCTTCTCCTAACTCTAAATGTCTTTTCAGGTTCTGGATCAAAAGGTTCTAAGAAAGGGTGAGGAGTTGCACTCATGCACCCTTTGATCTAAGACCAATTAGCCTGACTAGCTAAAACAAATTAGATGACTATTCAGTTCTTTCTAAAAGAAATTAACAGCAATCAACCAAACAAAAAAGTCCCAAGTTGCAGCAGCAACAATATCCACAATCAAGCAGAATTATAGAACAGTACCAATATATCCAAACTAACAGAATGAAACTAGTAAAAAAAAAACTGAAACTAAAAAATTAAGAAACAAAGTAACTGCTATGAAATAATAAACTAGAAAATGAAATGACAGAAAAATTATATAGAACATGTAGGAAATCAGAATATGAACAGAAATCAAACTAACACTATTAAAAAAAATACAGCAACAGTAACTACCCAATAAAGAAAAACATAATAAAAAATAAGCTAAAATAAAAAAAAAACATAAAAATGAACTACTCAGAAACAGCAATCACACAAAAGAATCTGACAGTGTACGCCTTCGATCCCCGACAACGGCGCCAAAAACTTGTTTTTAAGACTGCACTACTGGTGTTATCTACTCCTTTTCTTTTAATTTTTGTTTAATTTTTTATCTTTGTTAATTTTTGTTTTAATTTTAGAGTCTGGTCAACCATTATGGTTAGAAAGAATTTGAGGAGTGGGGGATCATCTGAACCCGATATAAAATACTCCACAAATGACCCTGATAGTCATTCAGTCACCTCATTCACCTCTGGAAACATTGTTAAGAGGTTTGAAGAAATCATGAAAAATAGGGAACCAATTCCTGACAAGGGATTTGAGGGTCACACCTCTTATCCCCCCTATGTATATGAGGTGGTGAAATCCCAACAGTGGGAAAAATTTGATTTGCACCCTCAGCAAGTGGCCAATGTCACTGTTTTACAGGAATTTTATGCTGAGGTTACTAGCAAAGTGCAAACTGAACTGGTTTGTAGGGGGTCAAGATATCATATGGCCCAAAAGCAGTGAGAGAATTTTATTATCTCCCATCAAAACCCAAAGATGAATATCACGTCTTCAAAAAGCAATCTGACCCTACCTTTTTGCAAGAGGTCTTGCTCACCATTGTTGTCCCAGAGACACAATGGGAAGTCAATAAAGATACCCACACAATACATAAGAAATATTTGGTGGAAAGAGCTCAAGTGTGGTATCACTTCATAAGAGCAAGACTTCTACCCACCATCCATGTACATTTAGTTACAAAAGATAGGGAAATTTTGTTGTGGTGTCTACTGACTGGAAAGAGAGTAGATGTTGCCCTTCTCATCCAAAAAGGAATTGGCATTTGTGCTTCCTATAGAAAAGGGAAGCTATGGTTCCCTAGTTTCATTTCTAGTTTGTGTAAATCCAAGGGTGTGGTTGACAACCCTTCGGATAAATTTTTCAGTGTCAAAGAAATTATAAACCTCACTTGTATCACTAAACTAAAAAAAGGGATTTTAACAATTCCTGAAAAGGAATCTGTTAAAGAGGTTTTGCATGATGCACCTCAACCCACCCCTAGCTTGGCCAAGAAAGGTAAATTTTCTCTAAAAGAAGAGCCTGTGAGCAGTAAAAAAGAGAAAAAAGAAAGCCTCGGGTGAAGGCTAGGGGTGTAAATGGGCTGGGCTGGGCTGGGCTTTGGCCATCCTGGCCCAAGCCTACGTCAAAAAAAAAATCAGCCTATCTGGCCTACTGGCCTATTAAAGGCTTTATTTGTAGGCCAAGCCCGGCCTATTTTCAAAAATAAGAAAGCCTGACATGGCCTACAGGCCTTGTAGGCCTCCCACTATATATACTAAGCAAAAACAATAATTGTATAGAGCAAAGAAATTTCCATTCATGCATGCACTAGTACTTCTCATAAGAAAAAAAATGAGAAACAAGAAAGAGTCAACATAATACCTCAGCTCTAGAATGTATATCATAGAGGAATAGAGTCAAAGAAATGGGAAAAATAAGAAAAATACAATTACTGGATGCTGAAATAAAGTCTACAAGAGAATGTCATTCATTTAAAAATCTTTAAACCACCATCAAAACAAGGGAAATAAGATTATTATTGAAAGATCTTCATCAATAACATCATAATTCAGCAAGGTACTCATTGCTCCATGGTATTAAGCTGCAACAGCATGTAAAATTTGGAGACATTAGACAAGTTTTCCTTTCATAAAATAAAATAGCACAAAAATAAGAGATATTGGTATTTGGTACTTTGTGTCTTTGTCACATAAAATAAATATTATTTTATTATTTTATTTTGATAAATTAAATAGGCCAGCCTATAAGGCTGTAGGCCGGGCTTGACAAAATTGGCCTATGGCCTATTTATTAAAAAAGCTTTTTTATAAGTCTAAGCCTACTCTACTTTTCTGAAAGGCCGGGCCTGGGCTGGGCTCAATGTAGGCCGAGCCGTAGGCTGGGCTGGGCCAGCCTGGCCCATTTACACCCCTAGTGAAGGCCCTTCTGCCAAATTTTCTGAATCCACACCTCTTTCATCACCTTTTGATGATGAGGATTGTATGGCCAGCCCCAAATTAAACCATAATCATCCGGGGTGGCTACATAATGACCTCACATGGATTTATACAATGATGAAGGAGTTGAAGGAAGATCATGAAAACACTGATTTGTTGTTTCAAAAATATTATGAGTAATTTTTTGGGGTCTTAAATGATCAAGTGAGGTTGTACACTTATATGGCTGAAAGAGACAAATTGATGAATGATTTTTTCAAAAATACTTTTGCTAATTTTCCTGTTTTGCCTATTTTTCCTCACAGTCTCACTTTTGCTCCTTTTTCCATATATTCTGATCCGCAGGTACAGCAGCACTTTCAGTCTCGAGCTGAAGCTCAAAAGGCACCTCCTGCTTCACAAGCAAAACCTGCTGCACAACCTAAGCAAGCACCTTCTTCAAGGAAAAGAGGGAGGCCACATTCTCGGATCAGGCCTATTATTGAAGAGCTAGAAGAGACTAATGAGGAGGATAAGATCCTCACATCATCTACTTCTGAAGAGTCAGCACAATCTGAGTCTGAGGACTCAGATTACAAGGAGGAATAGGCCAGAACA